ACTGAATAGCCAATCGCAATCACTGCACCACAAGTACCTAGTGTTTGTGGTGTCCTACTGTGCACTCGAGCTGTCATCTAAATATATTTTTTGATTTAATACTATTAAGTAAATTTATTTATTTTTTCTTAGTTTTTAATAAAATTAAAGGTGTTTTTGATGGCACGCACCACACAGTTAGTTTTTTTTTGTTGGTTGTTGGCTGAACGCGTTCGGTAGGTATTATAATAGTTTATTTATGCGATGGTCGCGACCGGGGTGGTCAGAAGGCTAAAACGACGATAATCCTAAATTACACACGCGGCGCGCAAGCAGCTTCTCGAGACGCACGCTCCACGCAGCACGACTTCTGCTTTCTTTCTCTCACTTCATCTTATTCCACTGAAAACCACTGGAGTTTCTTGCCCAGCTCAAACATATCAATGCTAACACCTCTATAGGTGCATATAGTGTTGGTGCCTAGTGCATCCCAACACATCTTCGCTGCGTACTCGTAAAATAACGCAAACACAAAACGAAAATCCTTCGTTTCACAGTCTCTGTGCAATTGCTGTGCGTGCATTCGACGTTAGTTTTATTATTTATCGCTTCTCGCCTTGCGCGTCCTCCTCGGCGACCGTTTAACCGACGAATCGTTCATGTCAAAAAGGCAATTTAATTAATTAATACGTAATTATCGTAATTAATTACTATGCAATTATCTTACCCGCATCAAAAATTTTTATAAAATTTTTATTAAAAATCTTTGAATGCGAGATATAACCTAACCTAACCTATAAACTAGAGTTATGGTATTTTTAAACACCGTTTTAAAATTGGGATCAATTTAAGCATAGCTCGTGCTTGTTACTGACCACATTGCATCCTCAATTCTTTATTGTCCCATTATAATGCGGTATTTATCTCTTCATACGCTCGTTGGACAATTGTGGACGCACAATTGGTGTTGTGACTCGTGACTCGACCACTTTGGGTCTTACTCGAGGCGATTGCTTTGATGCGACTTGCTTTGGACAACGTTGGAACCGTTGGTATTATGGACATGTGCGATGCACAGCATCGCGGCGTGAGGAGAGCACGCTTCTTGTTGTCCACTCGTTTTCATTCGATTCACTCTGCGCTGATTTATTGCCGACTATTAAGTGTCGCTCGAGTGACTCGAGCTACTTTTGTGTCAAATTTTTCTAAACCCACAAAGGCACAACTACTTTTCAGCCTCTTTCCCCTTTGTTTTCATTTTTAATTGTTGCTTTTATATCGAAAGAATTAATTAGTACACATAAAATGGAGTTTATTATTTTATTTCTAATTTAACTGCTACTTAATAAAAACGAGATTAGAAACCGGCGTGTTTTTTGTTGCAGGTTTCTCTCATTTTTATTTCTTGTTGGTTTAGATGCAAAATCATAAAATTTTAACGGTTTTATACAGTTTTACAGACGTTTATAGACATTTATTTACTTTATTAATGAGCTTCGACATCATTAACTTCTTAATACAATAATACAACTATAATACCCTTTAAACAAACAATTTAACATTCTCCGCATGCAAAATATCATAAATTAAAATTGAAAAATTGAAAATTTTAAAAAAAGACATTTCAAAGCTTTGGGTATCAAACGAAATATTCAAAACTACTATAAAATTAACTATTGAGAAACAGTAGCGACTGGCGTCACATTCTCAGGCGCCATGTTGTTTTGTCGCGGCGTTCCCGGCGGTTTCACTCCGACCCCAAGACGCATCAACATTACGCGCTCTCGCGCGCTCCCCACGTAACGTGCGCGGCCGCAAAACGAGCCGGCAGTTCGTATATGGAAGCGTGAAAATTATCGTGTATTACCACCGCGAAGAGCGTGTATTATGTTGTTGAGACCTGAGCCCCAGCACCAGAACCACTATACCAGTAGGCGCCAGCAACCGCATGCACACTCATACTCAATACACATATTGTGTTGGTACTTACATTCGTATAGGTATACTCGATACACGTTTATTTAAGGCTGGAGTTTTGAGCTTGCGTATTCACTGAGCGTCTTAAACGTTTTAAAGGTTAAATTTAAGTGTGTGCATGTTGTTTTCGTTTTGTTCGGCCCGTTTCTGCCAGCGTTTATGCATAATTGAGTTTGCATATTAATTTGCTGACAATTACGCAGTGTCTTTGCTATTTGGTAACCATTTTATAAATATTAAAACTAAATATTCTTGTTTTACCTTAAATTGATAGCAATCACAGCAATCAGCAATAAACTTTGTTAAATCACGCTTGATTTTTTGATTCTCCGAAATTTATTTAGCTTGTTGCACCAAAATGAGTTTAATTGAATTTATAGCACTTACTTCCTGGTTTGTGGAATTGTTTTAAAAGATTTATTTGCATACCCGACACTTTATTTACTTTTTACTGCGTATCAAACAAAAATACGTTTTTTTTTTCGATTAAATTATCAACCTTTTTTTCTGAAATAAAACTATCATCAAGGGAACGCCTTAATTAACTCAACTTTTAATCATTTTAATAGTTATTAAGCTAATATATTCTATATTCCATACTTATTTCACTTTTTTTCTGTTTTAAACGTGATGGCAATGCCTAAAATGTTATTATTTGAGAACAAAACTGAAAAAAAAACACTAAGCCATCAGATAGGCATCAAATTACCTAGTCTATTCGTCTATTACATTCAATTAGGTGCGTTTAACATGTTCCGCATTATAATAATTACCGTCCCGACTGGCGGCTGGTTATGGCTCGGAGCTATCGCGGCGTGCGTTTCATCCTCGATTTTTTGTTTTCTTTTTTGGAAAAACGCCGCTTTACACAAAAGGGCCGCTCTAGTTACTATCAAAATTAATGTTAAGAATGAAAAACGTGTTTAATATTCAATTAAGTGAATATAAATTTGGTACCGGAATTAATTCTGAATGCATGTTTTAATAAACGTAGGCTGTATATTTGGTTGCCGTCATTTGTACCAAAAATTTTTAAATATCAAATTTTAATCTTTTGAAAACAAATTAAATTTTTATTTTATGCCATCAATAAAGAAGCATAAAGCATCAGAAAATTAATTTTGAATATGGTTTCTGTATTTCTGAATGAAACCGATATGAGACTCCCATTCATGGAGCGAAGACATCACATAATTCATCCCTTCTCATGTTTTTTTAGTTTTTACGTTTTCACTAAAACTAAAACCCATTCTGACTGTTGTGACTCTTGTGCTGTTGTGTCTTCTGGCAGGGTAACAATTCAATAAATCACTTAATTTGTCACTTTGTTCGTTTCTACGGAGTGAGAGCCACGAGCAGCGTGGGCGTAGTCTTTATTTATTTAATATGTAAATTTCTCATCTTCCAGCGCATCCGACTACCAACTTCTTACTTTATTATTATCGTCGTCGCGTCTTCTAGACTTTACTCGACACGTTTGGATGCAACCATGGCGCACAATGAAATAAAAAGGTGTTGTGATACAATGTGTCAAGACGCAGTGTAGCCTATACCTACTCACTCAGAGCTTCTGTATAAGTATTTAAATTTATATCCATTGCTTCTGTGCGTTAATTAAACATTACCCATATAAACGCTGTAAACATTTTGATCTACACTGGTTATGATCGTGGTAATCACGAAGTTACTTCGCTTGGACAATTGAATAATTTCTCATTGTTGTCTACGTTCTTCTAGCGACAAACATTGTTCATGCGAAATTGTTTGGTGCCGCACGTCAAATGGACCAACTCGAATGCACAATGCGCGTCGTTAATTCACTAACGCCTCAACACGTTGACGTCTCATTTTCATTCATAATTAAATTAAACGCCTCACAACCACAAACCTTAGTTAACATTGGTGTGTGCAATTCTAACCTCACATCTTGGTATACTTATGCCAACCATAATCATATTGCTACCGATGTGGCGCTGGTTCTTGAATGCGTTGACGAATGATGTATTGCGTTTTGTTTGGCGCTTTGTTCTATGCTTTTAAGCAGCGCTGTAAAACAATGCGCGATTATGGCTATGCCAAGTGATTCAATCAAGTGGATGTTAAACATGCACTGTTGATCTAACCTCACATATCAGCTAGTAGCTACTAGGTACCTACAATATGCGTATTTAATTGAAAACTGGCATTCAGACATGGATTTTGCAGAATAAATCTTTGGTCAGCCACTGGGCTTTACCATAACCCTTTTTGAGGAATTCTATGATTGAATACATAAAATATTAGATTCCAGAGCAGATTTCATGTAATCTATACTGGATTTATTTATTCATATGGATTCTACAAGAAAATTCTTTTAAAATAAATTTTTTTTTTGTTTTAAAGTTCAATTTGTTATTTAAAAGTAATTTTTGTAATATTCACACTATTTTAATGTAACTAAAACCTGAAGATATAGTCATTCGATGTTGGTAGGTATATTTTTGATTGTATACGTTTCTTTTTCCATCACCATCAAAAGTCTCCGCGTTGTGGCACGCGGTGTGCGGGCACACACTTGACGGCAGGAATAATCTAGGCGGACCGCCCGCTCGACGGGAGTCCGCCTCTGGGGCGTCGGCGCGCGCCGTAACCGCACACACCCATCGGACTCGCATAATAGCCGTGGCTTCGACGCGGTGAAAAAAAAAAGGAAAGGATCAACCGAGCGAGCGAGCGGCTTTGCAATTACGCCCAGCCCAGGTGCATTGGATGCACCAAGATAGCGGCGTGACGAGGACACCGTCACTCTACCTTTGGTAGGAGGGGTAAAGAGGGAAGAAGAACAACGAGCACGCGGGGAGCATGTCGTGAGCAAACAACACACACACACACATCTATATGCGTGGTCGTCGGGCACGAAAGCATAACGCGCTGTCATCAAAGTGGAAAGGAGACCCTTTCGGGCGCGCGCGAGCCACACAGCCTGCGACGGCGGTTTCGGTGGAGGTGGCAGCGAAAAATGGCAGGCCCCAAAGCGACGACGAGCGATGCGTTATCGTCTCGCTGCCGCCGCAACGATCGGTAGTCTGTTCACAAACGCACCGCACCAAAATACAAATTTCAAACGAAAATCTTAAACTTTTACAAAGTTTCCAACAATATTTAGAACTAAAAATCAACAAACCACCAATTTAAATATGTAGTTACAGAAAATGTTACTACATAATATCAGAAAATTTAAAACTTGCGTAAAGTTGACTTTTAGATTTGTTTGAAATCAATTATACCAGAAGCGTGAAAATCATCGTCGGGGACCATCGTTTGTGTGAGTTGTGTATGTGGTGTGCCGCGTGGTAGAAGAGAACACGCCTTCCGCATAGTGGGAGCCGACCAATCTCATCGCTCTCGCCGGCTCTATCGCACTAATCTTGTTAAATGCAAGCCGAAAGATTCTAAATATTCATTCTGTCAAAACATCTCGCTCCTGGCTGCCTGCCGGCTGGACGCATCCGGACGCGACTCGCGCGCGTGTTTTACCTTCAACGTCTTCAACCACGCGACATCCTCAACAACAACAATCACAACTATTCAACAAAACAACATAAAAACTCTCAAATAAATAAATTAATTAATAAAAAGTGATATAATAAATCAAGTGAATTAATATTATTGACATTTATTTAAAGTTTAAATAAAATAAATCAAAATAAATTAATTATGATGTTTTGAAGGAGTTAGATATTGTAAATCTGGAGTTGTAAGAGTGCCAGTATCGATTTTTTGAACACGTGGGCAATTCAACACGTGTTGAGTGGTTGTCTATGTTCTTCAGTCCAAAGGAGTGAGTAGAAAGTTGGAACGTTTCGGTTGGAGGCAGACTTAATAGTGAATGTGTAATGGTGAGCACCAGGTGATGGAAGACAATTGCACCATGAGGCCGTGCGCCACGGACTTTAGCATCGCGGCGATCATGTCACGCCATGGGCGTGCAGCAAGAACCAAATGTCGCGAACCGTCGGACACGATATCTCCACTTGGTGAGTGCAAATTACAAAAATAACAATTCCACCCAAACGCAATCCAAAAACTAATAGGTTACAATTTGCTTTTGTCGCTTTTTTGCTATTTCATGTTATTGTTGAACCGAATGTGAATTTTTCGCGTTTTGCGTAATTATTATTACGGGAATGTGGAGGCCGAAATGTGTGTTATTTGCATGCATGTTCGCTCGTAACGCCATTATTGATGATTGTTTAAAGTGCAAAAATTACTTAAAACGCCTTTTATTCAACGCCCCGTTGCGCCGTGTGATGATAACGCGTGTTGCAAAACATCACAACATGTAAAACAACGCATGCCACTTAAAAAATAAAAACTTTAATGGACGCATTAAAAACTGTGCATAAAAATTCAAAATATCGCCTTAACGCGCTAATCGAATCATAGATATCTATGAATAAATTAGTTTTGTTTGATTTCGTTCAATATTCGTCAAATGATGCAATGAATAATTAATAATATTAAACCACGAATTGGTTGGTCGGTGAGTAGGGTGCGTGTAAACGCGTACATTTGTTGATATCAGTTAGGAACAATCAGGCGCTATCAGCACGCATCGCCCGGCGCCTCCGCCACATTTGTACATACACTCATACATCTACACACACTCATACATCTACACACCCACGCGCCGGCCCTCCCCCCCCATTGCTGAATCGATGAGTAATAATGTGAAACGATGAAACTATTCGTCGCCCGCGCCCGCCCGTAATCGATATGGACGGGATCGCGGTGAAACCACTCGAAACTACGCTAATGCGTTTTTGTCCAAATCGACACACATTCGTATCAGTGTCGTTGAAACAATTCACGTACACAATCATGATTTTACCATCCGCGCAGGCCATTATAAATTTCCATTGATAAGGGCGTATTATGTCGATTGGTAACGCATGTAACATGCAATTTTGGCATTAACATGCCGGCCGTATCAAGAACATCTAATTCGAGTATTGAGTGTCAATCGGAATACACCAACACACGTGTAATTACACGTGCATTAACCGAAAACCACCACAATTGTGACCAACTGGTCAAACGATCAACTTATACAATAATATAATCTCATTTACTACGACGTATAATTTCGGTTTTTACTAAGTGCAAAAAAGTAAAAGCTCGCATTAAGTTTAATTTGACATTCCAGGTGGTCGATTCACGAAAATGCGCCATATGTTAACATCCCGTTAGTGTTCATATGCGTTGAAAATAAAACCGGGAAAAAAATTGTGTTTAAATCGTATGTGTTTCAGCGCGTGTAAGTATTACCATCGTGTGTTTAAACTTTGTTGAAGCTTTGTTTTGACTTCTGTGCGATGAAAACGCCATCAATGTGCATGCCGCCAATCGCATCGTTTTTCTTTTCGCCTCACTTCCCAAATTAGAGTCACAACATTTACAAAACAAAGAGTAACGAATCACACAAAACATTTCAGGCTTAAAATACTTTTTGAAAATCATACAGCACGAGTAATTATGAGGAGCGAGCGCTCGGTGTGTACTCAAATTTGCGATGGAAGAACAACAAGACCAAAACGATACTCGACACAACTTGTGAGAACTCAAGAACAGCAAGTAAATGGGTTTTCTTAATAGGCAAAAGTTGAAAACTTTGCTCGTTGGCTCGTTTTATTCATGTTTTTGTTACAATTTTTGTTTGGCTTTGATACCGATCGACAAACGACCAAATAATACCTTGTAACGTGCTATTTTTCGTTGTTTCTAATGTGTTATACATTATTATCGTCTAGAAATGTAAATACCGATGTAAAAAGAAACTTGTGGCGGAAAACTTGCGAACAATTCACGATAACACAAGTATTTCAACGTTTTTTGCAAGATGTGTGGAACAACGGTATTAAAATGACAAAAACTGCTTTTATTATTATTATCAATAAATAACATATCTACAAAGGCAAACATTTTCAAACAAACAAGTTTTCAATAAATATTTCTTATATTTTTGAATCAATCATTTATTAAAGTTGTTATAACAGAAATTAAAAAAATTTTTATCGATTTTTTTAATAAATACATAGGTACATAATTATAAATATCATTACATATGTCAATTTAGAATTTAATATAGCATCAAACGGTGAAAACAAAATTTCGTATTTCTATCCGTTTTCAAATAATTTTATATTTACCTAAAAAACTATATTTTTGTATTTCAGACCGCTGTTCAATCTGTATATAAAACTCTAAGAATTCCCAATGTTCCCAAAAACTACACGACCAAAAATTCTGTTGAATTGAAGTAATAATACATTAAAACATAATCGTGTTTTGTGTAATAATTGGCGGGGACATTAGGACATTAGTGTTCGGTGTCATTTACAACATCATTACCTCGAGCGACGCCGATGTCGATTCTGATCTCTTATCTTCTGATAAGATCCTGATTATTTTCTATTTATACAACCTACGCTTGGGCAAATAAACAAACAACGAAACAAGCCAATGAAAATTAACGTTCAAAAACATGCGAATGACAAAACGCGCGCGACACTCATTCACCGCTTTGTGAACATGGACAGATTCTTATCAGTCGATTATGATTTATACCAATTACAAACTCAACAAACAAACTACGAAAGTATAGGTAATAAGAATGTAGATAGGAACATCCTGTGATTATAAATTATTACTCAGTGCATTGTGTAGGTATAAATTTCATAAATTGAAAGTTTTAGGAAAGTAAAAATAAAAATTCATAAAAATTATTAGTGGGAGTGTTTGATCATGAGAACATGATGGATGTGCACTAATTAATTTAGCTAAAAATCCACCCCTTGGGTTGTAGGCGTTAATAAAAGCCTGACAGTACCAATAAAACAAAATTATCGCATTCTTTGCGGGCGTGAAAATTTTCCATTTTTTCTACATTTATTTAGATTATTGTAATCAAAGATCGCCACCTAGCTGGCGTACATTTTAATTGTGTTAGTTGAAAGCTCACACAAGCAATAATTCCCAACACCCTTTTACTTTTATAGCGCGTAATAAAATATAATAAAATTAAAATGTATCTCGGATCAAATTTTTATTTAGTCGCTGCGGATGATTTTTAGCTTAGCTTGGAAAAGTTGAGATATCCGCCTGAATCGCACGTGAAATAGTGTTGATGGTCACGTAACGTGTGTTCGTGCACGTTGAGGGGTGGTTTGGATTGCCGGCTGGAAAATATGCGGAGTGTATATGTGGGTGTAAAAGTCGTTTTTCCATTCGAATGATAAATGTGGAAATAAGGGGCGCGCTTTTGCCGCGCCAATGACTTTATTATTACAATCGGCTGCTTTATTTAAACGCACGCTTCATTTATTTTATTATGCTAATTTCAATAAGTACGCCCTTTCTCGATATAAGTCACTATGCGTTATAAATAATAAAAGGCAAGAGAAACAGAAACCAAAAACTAAAAAAAATGAATAAAAGAAATATTTCCATGATTGTGTAAGAGTGTAGGTGTGTCCACACTTTGTGAGGGTATGTTTGATTGTTCTTTTGATAACGAATGCCGCGCGCGTTATGACATCGTATAAAACCCCGCACAATTCTATAGCTTTTCTATATACTTGTATGGAATTGTACGAAAACGAAACAATAGAACGCTTACATTTCACATTCGTATGCGATTTGTGATGATGGATTCGTGCCGTCGCGCCATGTCGGTGGTGTAAATGTGAAAACGCTACTTATAGGCTATAAAAATGCAAAAAAGCACCGAAGAAAAAAAAAACAACAACGAAATGTTGCTTTGTCACACGACGCACCGCAGCCATTGAAAAATTCACAAAAATGTTTTGCACGAAACGAACAAATTACACTGTAATTTTAACGATTCGCGTTTTCAGCCATTATTGTTAAACAAAACATTAAAATGTAAAAAAGACATAAATTTAATACAAACAAATAAAATGAATACAAAAAATAGCTTTGCTATACTTTATGTCAAAATATTTCACTTATGCAATATGCGTATTGGGTTGCATACTTTTTGTACTGCATAAAAAACCGTATAATCATGAAGAACAATAATTAATAATGAATGTACAGTAGCTAAGAGCTGCCAAGAACACAAGAATAACGTTGTAATGCAACATATTTCAATTAATTATCAACATATAATTGATCATTTACATTCGCGTTTCGTTTCGTAATTAATTAATGCTTCTGATGCAGTCACAGCACACCACAGCAAACTGCTTGCGATTAGTTTGTTAACTTATTAATCGCTTCTCATTCGTTGATATATAATTTATTTTATAGAGCCATGTGAATCTTTAAATATTAATACCCAATTAGTCCAATGTACGATGGAATTGTTACAATATCGCACATTTATTACACTATAACTCGCGCTTGAGACTAGATAAAATGTAAAAAGTTGAAGTTAAGACATCATTTAATATGATTGCTCAACAATATACAATTTCACAATGGTAGGACGCGGCTGGCCGGGGATTTGACTCGTTCACACATTGGCGAAGTAGAAAAAAATCACTCCTCATTGAATTTCACGCTTTGCGGCCGACAGCCGCCTTAAAAGTGTCTGAGTGAGCGAACGGTTTCGTTATCATGTTATGATGGCTCTGTATTGTGGTGTACAGAGCGCGAACGCTAATTAATTAATTAGCGCTAGAGCGTTAATGAAGATTTAAGCGCTTTTTATGCGAACTGCTTGTTCCTATCGACCGAGGCAATAATTACAACACTTTATAGTGAACTCTTCGAATGAATTCATTCATAAATTTGATTAATTCAGCTTATTCAGTTTGTGAATTCAGTTTATCTGAATATGAAGTAAAAACATAACAGAAATAACACACTCCCATGTTTCTCCACTACCGCCTGACGAAATGGGCGTTCGTTGCCTGTAAATTTGATTTAAACATTTAATTAATGCGGTTTAAGCCGTAATTAACTTGGTTATTTAGTAATTAATTAATTAGTCAGCGGACGGGGCGAAAATTTAACTTTGAACAACACCGCAGCAGCATTTATTACATTGTTTTGTTCGTTTAATTTATAAATAATTTTTTTCGTGTTTTTTTTTTGTAGAAAAATTTGTGGAAACATCAGCGTCTTCAGTGACGTCAACTCCTGAGCCAGCGATTGATTGTAATCTAGTGTCACCAGGAACAGAAAGCGGGCGAGAATCACCCGTTGATGTTTCTTCAACGTCGGAGTCTTCCGTTCCGGGGCAGACGTCGTCAGGAAGGCGATCGCCATCGGCGCATCAGAAAAATCCACAGCTACAGGATCGCTGGTCCTGTGAAGAACTTAGAAATGTCACATGTCATCTAGAGACTAAGGAGTTGTGGGATAAATTTAACGATCTGGGAACTGAAATGATTATTACCAAGACTGGAAGGTAAGAAAATAATTTACGATTATTTTGGATATTTATTATAACTATTAAATATTAGAGCGTATTTTCATATATAGAAGTGTTTTGGTAGTGACATTTATTCAGGGGCAATTCACCCAAAACGTCATGACATGTGAAGTTAATAATGGCACTTAATCGTTGTGATAGCACTAGTTTAGTAAAATATTCCCTTATAGAAGTATTGTAGATCAAATGATTAATAAATTATTTTTTCTCTACTTATTTGTAAATTGTAACGCTAGGCAACCAAATATGAAATACTATGCTTATAGAGTTGCTTTGATCATTCCTTGTAATGCCGGGGTGAACCGTATAAATAGTTTAATAAAACGAAATCGCCGCGAACCACACACGTGGTCATTTAGACGCCTTTTATAGGTCCATAAATGCAAAACAATAAAATGATAGTCCGCTAGGGCATTGTGTGTTGCCGCTCTCGACGCGGCGCGGTGATTAATTCGCACGTAGCGGAAACACACGCGAAAATGCGCGCATAATTTTCACCGTATGCCGAAATCGAGTGTGTGCGGTAGCTTAAACACAAACGTTCGCGTGGAATATGTGCAAATGTTTTCATTGGTCGATTTCGACTTTGCGCCACACGCGCGAAATGCATAATGAGAGCGCAGAGCAGAGTCGTAATGTGGTGCAATGTATTTGTTAAACAAATTCCTTCACTATAAATCATTCTCGGTTTGCAAATAATATTTGATAGGCTTTTGTTTGTCGCCTGTGGAAGCGAAGCGATTTACTGACAAATTGCTTTTGCTAATAATAATGGCTACTAAACTGAATTAATTTTGAGTACAACTATCTTACGAGTAGGCCATATTTATAACTTAAAAAGTAACAGGCAACCAGTTATACAATATGCATGTCAAATGAATTGCCTATGTTTTAAATGAATTAAATAAAACTAAATTAATGTAAATTCTAAGTGACTTGAATGTCTTTAACACATGTTAAAAGTTAATTTTACCTGCATGAAGTCGTAGTGGACAACACCAGGTGGAGACAATCAAATGGCAATAAATTCGTCTCGAGAAGTTGGTCGAAGTAAAATGTGCAGATATAATCGAAGGAACGCAGCGCGACGAGCATTAAACGTCCACTTACGCCAATTAAAAATTTGTAATTTTATTTTTATGAAGCACTCATGACAACGTCGTCTTAATTAGTCGCAATGAAGAAACGTCAGTTGAAGATTTCGACGAATCGAAATTCGAAATCTAATATTTTATCAGTTGGAAATATTATTAATAACCACAATAAAAATATGCACATTGTATACGTATTAATTAGCAGATGGAGCAGTTGATTAGCGATTGGCAATTAATTTCGATGAGTTTGGTGGGTTTAACGACCCTTTTAAAATGTATTTCATTGTAATCAGTCGATTTGAGGTTGATATTCTACACGCATAATAAATGCTGGATCATTTATTATTTTAATTTAATCAATGCATCAAGTTAGAAAATTGAAGTGAGATGAGACGAAAAAGATGCAATTTGTAACAGTCGTGAAACGAGGCTATCTTTATCTTTTAATTAAATTAATTGTTTGGGATTCACTGCACAATAAAACATAACCAAACAAATCGACTGATTTGAGTCAAGACCACTTGACTTAAGTTCAAATCAATTTTAAGCGCATAGTTAATATGCATTTATGATTGATTTTCTTTTAATTATTGTCTTTGATGATTTATTTGACATTACAAATAAAGATTTTTCATTTTTTTATTTGAATAACGATTTGAGGCGTAATTTATTAACTACTCAATTACTCGCGTAGTAAACGACGTTTTTGCTTGAGATCTAAATTAACAAAATGAGAATTTATGCGTAGTGATCAATTTTAATTAAGTTAATTCATTAATTACTGTGTGTGATAAATTGATAATTTGATAAGTGTCAACTATATTTTTAAATTATGAAATATTAAATAATTTTCTTTAATTAATTAATTGACATTGTAAACATAGCGCATGAGAAATGTTCAAGTGGTCACTTAGCGCCTGTGTTTATGATTTGTGAATGACGTGATAATTTTTTAATTAACATCTTGGTGTACCGCTGTGTGGTTTTTTTTTCAACGATCGAAAGGTAATGCGTATAAAAAAGGTGGAATCAATCACCGATCAATCATTAAGATAAGGTTTTGATGTGCGTTCCGCAGTGCACGCATCGCTGGGATGTCTTAATCAATCAGTGAAACTTAGCTTTGGTCGAAACTTTGAAATTTTACCTGTGCCTACTGCCTGGCCTTTTATGGGCCGCGTACACAAGAAACAGGTGTTTAATATCTTAAATATCAGGTTAAGTATCAATAATAGCTGCAACCCAATATACAAAACGTTGGGTAGGTATATTATTAGTTACCCGCAGTAAATAAAATATAAAATTAATCATTGCACATAAAAATGAAGCCCGCAGAATAATTTTATTAGGTGAAATACTTCACCAAACAATTATTATTTATCATCGTTGAGTTTTGCATGCCAATATAAATTTGAACGTCATAAAACATAAAATTTTTATTGAAGAATGAAAAATAAAGTTTATGATGATTAAAACATAATCCACGAGTAAATAACAAACCTGCATCAGTTTTAACAACTAGTATTTTATAGATAATAATAATTTACATCAAGTTTGGCGATATTTCATGGTCAGTCGGTGACAAGCATGTGTTTCCTGTTGAATTTCAAGTAACGCCCTCTACAAGTAAATTTTAATATGGTATAAGACGTAATTCAATTAAAACCGGAGCCACAATTAAAGTTTTACAATTTATACAGACCTAAGCGGCTTAGAGTTTGTTGTGATTCGTAATGCGATATGCAATTGTATTTTGAGTTGTATTTTAACTTTTAACTACGGTTAGCAACCAGGATTACATCCTGTCGAAACATTACGAAAGTAAATGTAACCTCAAATTTAATATTTAAATACAATTAGAGCTTTATGCGAGTTTGCACACCATGAGTTTTGGAGAATAATTTACTTTGAGATGTCTTAAATTATTAATTTTTACATTTTGCTGAATTGTGACTTTCCGAATGGTTCACAAATCCAATTAGAGCTCAAATATTTCAGGTAATATTTTGACGTTGAGTGTCTTCTTTGGAGGGCGTCTCTTTTGCGCACGAAGGGCTCTGAAACATCTGTAAATTATTCACCTACGTGTTTCATTTGTTTCATTCCGTGCGCAGCGCTTGAAATAATTCCTTTTCTTGCACGCGGCTTTTCTCGTCTGCATGTCACATTGCGACTCGTTATTTAGTCACGAATTAAACTCCATTTTCGAGGCCGTCTGCTCGTTTATTCGAAGGACGACGGCGCGACACGTCGGCAAAGACAATGTCGTTTTCGGTGGCGTCGCGGCGACGTCGGAGGACGTGCGAAACGAGCTCGCGTCGCTTCGCACGTCGACTTACCGTCACAACGCGAAATTTCGACGACGGCACCACCGGTTTAATCATCCCTTAACACACACTTTCGAAAATGTTCAAACACACCCGAATTTTAACATCTAATGAAATCTAAATACGCCTCTGCGAAGAGTATTTATTTGAAGTTACGGATCAAACTTGCGAGTTGAGTAAGTCGCAATCCTTTCATGCCGATTAGAAATTCGAAATTAGTTAAGTTTGCACCCTCTGTGCGAGGAGTAGGCATCGAAGCGGCAAAGCGATTAAAGAGTGAACATCCAAGTTTATTAATTCATCGGGGAGCGGGCAACTCGAGGGATTTGCTATGCGCAAAGATCGCATTCATTAATTTGATTGCTTCATTTCGCGTGCCAAGCGAACGCATCTAATATCACTGAAAGCGACATGTGTTACAATTAAAAGTCATGCGTCTACAAACAATTTGTACATCTAAACTACTATTAAAGGGTTAATATTCATTATTTCAAACGTTTTAAGTTTTAAACGTAAAATTAGTTATAAAAGTTGATTTTTAACACAAAGTAAGTTTATGTAAGTTCGGAATAATTTTTTTAATTTCTGTAGTTCCTGGGCGTGGAAATGTCGCTAGCACAGCAGTTTCGGCAGCTTGTTAGCAGTTAACATTTGTTGTGTCATATTAATCACTTTGTGACACTGTGCACTATGCGAAATATGCATAACAAGCCGACCAAAAAGTGCGTGTGGTCCCTTTTCGGCATAGTTCCGTCATGTTCACCCGTGGTGGGCTCACTGCTCAAATTTCACTCAAATGAAAAATTTTCACCTAAAAATCGGATAAATCAATAAATTAAACATTTTTGGTAACTCCCACATATCCTATAACCAAAAGGGCCACGTGGTCCTGCTCTGGGAACTCACACCTGTTTCGAATTCAATTTCAGTTATTGCGGTTTTTACAACTTTCGAGCTCTTAAACCAAATTTTTTGTTTTGTATGATTTCTTTCTTGATTTGAACGTGTGTGATTGCACATGTCGTGTGTTTTTTGTCCGTTGATGCCTTATTACGCCCGGTTCCGTTTTCGGCGGCCCGCCCGACCGCACATAAATTATTTAAATCGTAAACGGCGGCATCGGAGCAACAAAGCCGCGAGGCAAATCGAATAAGCGCAAGCTGCGCACTTTCGGGGCGAAGAGAGTGGAGAAAGACAATAGCCGCGAGTCCCAAGCACCACAATTAACGTTTTATTGGCTAGCCCCATGCCCCACTCTCTTGAAATATTAATTAAGCCGCTTATATTAATTTACAACAAGCGTTTTGTGGTTGACATGATTATTAAGTAGATTTATCTACTAATGTTCCACTTTGGAATCAAAATAAAACTTAAAAAATTAAAATTTTTAATTGATAAGAAACGTGTTTAAAATGATGTTTGGTAGTTGATACTTGTTTAAGCTTCATATTTTTACTCGTCTAATTATATATAAAGGCGGCCCGAGCCTTGTTCACGTCATTAATTTTCATCACTCGGGTGTTACGTTCGTTTTTTTAACGCGCAACATTTCGACTTACTTTAGCACCACGCTAAAGAAAAGACAAAACAAAAAAGCGTCGGAGCTGGTACGGTTAAATATAGCAGTGTCAAATTGCCAACATCGCCTAACGCCAGAAATGTTACGCCTGACATTTAGTTCCTATTATCATTTTTCAAAAGACAACACAGCTCATGATGTGAACAAAAAATTACGCATGACAACACACACAAAAAAGAAAATAACTGGAAAAGAATTGTGTCGAGGATTTCTTAAATGATTGCAAATTCTAATGTGGCAACAACTGTCAAATTGAATGAGTTGCAAGTTATCGCACAAACGATGATCAATTTTTAATTTATTGACATGTCTGGGTGCAAATTACGATGCGAATCCTGTTGGAGAGGTAATTTATTGATCAATTGTTTCTAATCGTGGGTGGATCGAAACGAGCTCACATCACGATTCAAGCCGAAAGGTCATTACACGTCATTAACATTTAAAAGAAAACAAAAACATAAAACTTTATTTTTATTTAATTAGCCATTCGCTGAAGGAATAAGAAATTTAATTTACACTTGGGTGTTCCGAAATAACATTCCGAAGAAGGTGTGATTACAGCGCAAAAGGTTCCAAGTTCAATTATCAATGAACGCATGCAATTAGAAACGTTTAGTGCTGTTTGTGTTCTGCTCGCGTTCATCGCGCGCATGAAGATGTGTCCGCTTATTTGCTTAATTTGCTCTCGACGGTTACGAGTGTTACAAGTGTTACGACTTGAGTAAAGTAGTAATGTCCGCCGAATGCGTTGCTTTTTGCGCCCGCCATGTTTGTTTGCAACGCGGCGTCGCAAACCATTAATTAACCACTGCGCAACGGTAAAAACACAAACTGAAAACACATTTTTTTGTGTAAATTATATTCTATTATCTTTATGCACTGTACGTTTATAAACGTAGAGAAGGTTCGTGAAAGAAACGCTGAAAATGCACAAAAATCAGCCGGGTTTCTACACATGGAAATTGAGAGGTAATTAAAAGCAATGCCCGCTAATGATCCTAATCAACTAGCTGTAATTGCTGTTTTCTTTTGGATAATTAAGCGAGACAAATTGCAAATCGAAGCACACAACATTAGTCTAAGTAAAAATAGTCACATACAATCGATTAGTTAATAGAGTTAAACGATAGATGGCGCTAGTCTATTGTTTTGTGTCGGGAAAATATTGAGCAATCGTTGATAAATAATTCGTGTAACAAGTACAACAATAAAATCGATCGTTTCAATGCTGGCGGGCACGCACAAAGCTCATTCCGCCGATGACGACGGGATGAAGATAGCGGCATCTAAAAGCCTATAATTTCAGCGCTAATTTGTTTCGATATCTCGCCGCGCGGATCTCCCGATCACACAAATCAAATTGCGATAACTCGCGCGCGCACCGAAAAGGTGTTAGGATTATTCTCACCTCGCGTGTGCGTGTTCTTTCCGTGATTCGCCTCTCGACTCCGCTCGTCTACCTGTGCGCTCGCAAGCATCAGGTGGAAACGCGCGCGCGCGCGCGTTAATTTTTATTTATCGACTATCTTTCGGGGTCTCTCGGCCTGGTCAGGCTCGCGCACCGCCCGATTACGATCTTAATTTATTTTAAATAAATCACAAATTATTTCCAAGCTGGAATCGCTATATTATTAAACGGTTTTTAAACGCCTGCCATTTATTATTGCGTTTTCTTTTCTTTACCGCAACGCCGACAAAACGCGCCGGCGATCAAAGGTCATACTAATGAGTGGGCAATGAGGAAATAATAGAAATCACCCTTCTAAGGCAAGGGATGATTAAGCTATAAATAACTAAGTTTTTTAAAAGGTAATAATTGAGATATTTTAATGGTAGTAAAAGAATAATTTTAAAAATCACATATGTCTATAATAAATTTAACAAAACTATAATTTGGTGAGTCTATTGTGAACAACACTTTTGAAAACCATTACTCTAAATTACACAACATCACACTAAAAATGTGACATTTTGGCCTGTTGATGACGACGATGAGTTGCCACGTCGAGAAAACTTGCTTGTATTCTGAACAAAGTTTATTCTGTAGTTTGAGTGCCAATTTTCTAGCGTCACGTCCGTCCGTCTTGATTATTTTAAACGATCGGTAACGGACAATTAGTCCGTCGGAGGCGCGTCGTTACGGCTCACCGCGTCGCGACGGACCAAGAATTTGATGCATTACGAGAATAAACAAAAAAATGCGAGCATTTATCACGCAACCAGCGACAGAACAACCGTATTTACAACTTACCAACACAAAACAACAGCAAAAGAGTGAAAATTTGTAACAAATTTACACTTAAAATTAAAATCAACTAAATTTTTACTTTTTTTAAAGTGAGACAAACAAAAATTTATTTTTTTATAGTCAAGTAACTTTTTTTAAAGCTGCAAATCCGTCAACTGACGATTTCGGCGTCGCGACGAATTTAATTAGAAGATCCACAAAGGCAGCGAAGCGGGCGACATTGCAAATGAGCCGTGATGGTCTCACTTCAACTGCTAAAGAACGTATTTATTACCGGCAGAGACTCTTTCGGTTTTTCACTGCGTCTCTCGAATATACTCAATCTATGTGTGTGTGTAAAAGTGTGTGTGCTTGAAACGCGCGTTCTTACGCGTACGTCCACGTAATTACTGCTTCCTGCGATGTATCAAACGCGCAGGCAAGCCTCATTACGCTCGCCGGAGCCGTGCGACGGGAGCAGAGCAATTTCGCCCGAGGCGTATCAAAACTTGAAAGCAAACCAGCGCCGATGGCAATAATGTAGAAACGTATATAAATAGACTCCCTGGTCACAATGGCGAATATACCCTGGTCAGAGAGTCGGTAGTCTTGTGAGACCCGATCGCCGCGACCAATTCAATATTTTACCGGGTTTACATTTCTAAGTGGCTGGCTTTTAAACTGTGATCACTTGTATTGCAGGAGGATGTTTCCCACCGTGCGCGTTTCCTTCACCGGCATCCGCTCGGACCAACGTTATGCAGTCCTACTGGATATTGTCCCGGTGGATAATAAGCGTTATAGATATGCTTACCATAGGTCATCGTGGTTGGTGGCTGGCAAGGCTGATCCGCCAGCTCCATGTAGAATGTACGCCCATCCTGATTCACCTTACTCCGGGGAGCAATTGCGCAAGCAGGTTGTCTCCTTCGAGAAGGTGAAGCTGACCAATAACGAGATGGACAAACATGGACATGTAAGTATGCCTCGTAACAACACCGCTTTAGTGAGTTACTCCATGGAGTACGTCTGGAGTTTTTATACTCATCGCTGATTTGCCATTGCAGTTGGTCCTGAATTCAATGCACAAATACCAGCCTAGGATACACTTGGTGAAACGACCCGATGGTGCTCCCGGTCATATCGTGGACCTCGAGAATGAAGAGTACAAGACTTTCGTATTCCCCCGAGACTGTTTTTACTGCTGTGACTGCTTACCAAAATCAACTGGTGAGTTTTTGTATCTTATAATTGATTAGAGTTGATACTTGATACCAGTCAGGATGATGAATTGTGGTTGGCATTCCTTTGAGTCTTTGAGACTTTCATGTCTTCGACAATTACATAAACCTACATACTACGTACCGGAATACCTCACACATTGCGCTGACTTCATTTACAATTTGCGCCGTGGAGGACTTCCACAGAAGTCGAGGCAGGCAATTTACTATCGGAACGAATCGGCCGCAGTGAGCAACGGACGCGACCGGCCTTTGAGGCCGCGCGCGCGCGAGCTTTGACGGCCCAGAACACGTTGCCAGCACTTTTGTTTTACAATATTTTAACTCGACCATCCTTAGAATTCCCTTTTCAGACGAGACGCTTAACCTGTGCGGGCTTGACAGCATCACAAAAAACATTCAACTCAAAAGCCACGTATGTGTAACTGCAGTAGCTCGTGTGAACGTATTAATATATTCGGTACATTATCATTTCAAAGGTTATGTTTAACAATACAGAAGCGTTCGTGGAATAAGTGGGTAGATTTTTTCGCTTTTGGAAAATAGTTTTTGTTAGTCATTAACGACATTTTGCTGTTTGTTATTGTTCGAGGGCTCGATGCGAGAGCAATGCGTTTGTGAATTGCTAAAATTGTCACTACGACCAGCACCATTTATTCAGCTATCAGCACTTGGTCCTGGGTGGGCTGACATTGTTTTGGCCGGCTGCCAACGGCAAACAATTCTGGACGCGCGCTCGTTTTCGTGGCCCGCCGCGTTTTACACACATGCAAAGCACCGCGTTAATTGAGAGATTGCCACCGTTCTCTACAATATTTTACTCACCCCACAAACGGAGAAAAATCTCATTTTTACAGCACGCATACACAGCCCGACGCAAATGATTAACCGCAACACATGTGCGCACTCAAAACTCTTCATCTACGCGTACATGCCTACAACTTTTCAATTCTTGCTCACCCGACTTCACGATTCGGGATTTATTTTGTCGCGTGAAAATTCGTTTTGTCTGCTGTCGTTTCCAGTGCGTCGTAAATTTCTCTCTGCGCGCTGTACGCTGTGTTTGGCGGCTGCTGGGAAAATTTATGTCTCATTTAATTCGTTTACGATGCACTCCATTATGATTAAAACAAACCGACTGAAACACGACAGACGACACTAACAACAATCAATTATTGCACTTGGCGTTTGATGGGTGTTGCATATACATATTTGACATGTTGTGACACATTCCTCTGCATCGCTACCCCTTCAAAAACCCCTTCATTTCATCATCATTCACAAAATGGCGGCGATGGTGTTGTGATGAAGATGCAAATCCTTGTCGAGCTCGGTCTGGATTTTGTGCAGATGCGCGATTGGGGCATGGAAATCTACACAATTATATTGACTATCGAAATTATGTTTCGACCCAGAGGCCGGCGCAGTTTACCAGAGAATATTGCATTGTAAGAAAACAATTTTGAAATATTTCGGGAATTTTACTGCAAATAACGAGTTTAAACGTCATAAGAATTTACGATTTAAGCGAAGTTATAATTTATTTCGACAGCACAGTTTAAGCTCATCTTCGATGGAATTATTAACTCATTAGATGCGCCATGAAAGCAAATCCTCGATGTCAGAGCTTTCAAATTGAAGGCATCTTCAAACATCCAACATAAAAGCGCAGTAGCCGCGATCGTAAACTTCGCCTTGACTATCAACTTGACTATCGTTGTTGTTTTTTTCTATTCGCTTCTTTGCTTTTTACGTTTACGTCTTTTGCGAACGATTTTCTTTTGGTTTTTGCTCTTTGGCGCGCTCAGTGTGTGAAGGCTGTCGTGAGTTATGGCCCGAATCGGACTGCGAAACGACAGTAGCGCCACGACTGCCTCGGAGACTGCCAGAGTGCTTCTAAACGTGTGAAGGTGTTTTATTACGGATTCCGCCGCCGCCACCGTGCTCGTTTTACTTGCGACTAGCGCCGGACGACTTTATTGCGCGTGTACATGCGAGAGTTGGAAACTGGTATGGAAGGTGCGAGGATACCTCAGAAGGAACATTATATGCTCCCAGAAAAATATCCGTATCAAATTACTCTCTTAATAAAACACCAGGAATTCTGGCGCCAACTACAATATCAACAATAACTGGACCAAGAGACACATTAGTACTTATTACTTTACTCTTACCTCACATAACGTTAGGATTAATATGAATATTCGAATAAAATCAAGTAGCATGCAGTAGTAGAAGCAGTGTCAATTCTGGAATTCAAAAGTATGAGAGAAAAAAAGGTGTCTGCTCTCCTCCTCGTTGCAACAAACATAAATAATAGTTTTTAAATGAGACAGGACGTTTCACGGCGGAGCGCGTGTGTGGCGCGACACATGATGCGCTCGTCGAGTGACGGATCACCGGAGGGACGCGCGATGTTTTCCACTTCTACACATTTTCTTCGACGACGACGACGATACAAAACCTCGCGCGCGCCGCGAGGAAACGGCTAATGAGCTGCCGGATTCCCGTATTCCAGCATATAAATCACTCTCGAGTATGCCATCGACTCCCGCGCCACAATCTGACAATCCTAGTATTTCAACAATTTTAACATTTCTCAAAAGATTTTTTAGTTCATTTGACAAGGGAAGCAGTTGTTTCCAAGATGATTCCAGAGTAATTTATTAGGTCAAGCGGAAAATTTAATTTAATATCAAACAGGATGATGATTTAATATTTCATTTGCAAACAGTACAACTGCGAGCGTTGAAAAATTGTTTCGGTTTTGTTGCGGGTCTGCCATCTGGTCATCACGGTTTCTTAAATCGCTCCATTGTGCGCCACTAATGTCGGCAATTAGTCATCGTAGAGTGTTGCACACACACTCGCACCCTACAGGCGGGTTTTCGGAATTGATCCGAATGATCCGACTGCGAACAGACTCCCAACCGGCGCACGCATTGTTTGCTTTAAACACTATGACAATACCCATTACACACTCCTAAAATATACCATCGCGTCAAAACGGATTCGTCAAGTTGAGCATCAGTCAATCATACGTGCTGAGTATGCGCCACAGTATCTGGTTATCTGCGGTAACGCACCAAACTCAGTTGAATCAGTCGAATCTTCACGGAGTGCATGTGGAAGGAAAACAAATATAGCTGGGGGACACCCGGGGTGGGCCAATTATCTGCTCACGGGGAGTGACAGCCCCACGAAGGAGTATGCACGGAATGCGGCTCCCCGGGCTGCCGATGGATGCATGGATGCATCGCGAGGTGCATGCCATTGCCATTCAGTCATTCAAAACATACAGAAACAGAAAGAGAAGCGTATAGAGTGGGCCAAGAGAATCGGATGTTGCTGCGTGTATTACACGATGATACATGGATTCGGCTGACAGTGTAAGTTCCAGATGATGTCGAGATTAAAGCGTTTCGGGTTTGACTCGCACTCGGAATTTCTTGTTTTGGTTCCATACCAAAAGACCCCAAACATCGTCACATACAATATACTCTACCACCTCAACAATTTCTTCATCTGTTAATTAATCTGTGGGTCGTATTTTATGTGAGAGACAGGAAAAACATTAATTTTGCAACGTTTGCCTCTGAATGGCAGCACTTTAATTGAGAGTTTAATTTTCTGTCGATGATGGCGAGATGGTGAGATCAAATCGGAATCGAAGGAGACCGTACGCGCGTTTACGACACACTTAACAGCTTCATTACGTATGCGACGCGATGCGCAACCTTTTTGAACACACGTCAAAGAGTTGTCTTTCATTTGTTGGCAACTTGGGAGTTGATTAGACTTAAATCCATTCTACTTAAGTAGTGAACCTGAAAAAAAAGTGTATTAATCAATTGTGTTGCTTTTTTTGTTGCTGTTGCAGATAACCAAGTTGAAGATCGACAGTAATCCGTTCGCTAAGGGTTTCAGAGATTCGTCGCGACTCACCGAATTCGAAAGGTAATTTTATTTTCCACGTCATCTTAGTATCATTCAAATAAATAAATAAATCTATTTTAAATATTTTTATATACCTACCTAATGGTAGTTATCTAGTTCAGAAATTATCTTAACCCAATCAGTTTCTATTCCAGGGAGACGATGGAATCCATGTTGGCTGAACAGCATTATCTTCGGTCACCATTGAGACCATTCGCGGATCTGGATACACACAATAACAATCTCTCACTGGAAGAGAAAGCAATTTTAGCAGCGCGATCACAACTCTTCCTGCGTTATGCAGCCGCGGCTGCTGCTGGTCCCTACGCTCCATTAATGGGTGGTTTGTATGGGGCTAGTGGATCCCAAGCTAGTGCTGCCGCCGCCGCAGCAGCTGGTGTACCACCAGGTGTCCTCTGGAATCAGTGGGCTTGTATAGGACCATCTCTGCTAGCTGCCCAACAACAACAGCAACAACATCAACTTGCCGTGGCTGTAGCAGGCGGGTCACAGTTAACTTCATCACCAGTGTCACCATTAGCACGGCCTTTGGTTCAACATCGTTACTCGCCCTATGCGCCGCCTCCGAGATCATCTCCGGATACTAGTTTACGCGAGGGCCAGGAATCACCTCATAGTCCTTCATAAAATCATTAATCAATTAAATAAACAAAAAAACACTTAAAGTGCTGAGATTTTGATGGCTACTATATAAATTAAAAAATCATGAAAATGAAATAAATATTAATATATTTGATTGTAATATATTACTATATATCATTGTGATATTTTTGCATTTTATGCTTCGAGTTGTTTGATTAATCTGGCGTTGCTTGCCAAGATGGCGGCCGCAGATGTCGCCACACACACATACACAGATAAAGCACATGTTTTCTACTTCGATTCTTTTGTTCGGACGAAAACAAAGCGAATCAAACGAAAGGCGAATGTAAAAACATGAAAACAAGTTCCAAGAGATGCAGTAAAATCATCTGAGCGTTGAAAATGTACAATATGAAAACCTAACTAATGATTAATTATTACATTTTGTAAATAAGATATAAATATTTATAATTTATTACTGCGTATATCTCGATTACTATTATTGTAATGTTGTAGGGTGTTCCTTTATAAGTGTGACTTATAGTTTTAACCTTAAAAATCAAAAACAACAGTCGAATATTCTTGCATTGCGTATAATGCAAGTGTGAGGTTATGTTTTACAAAATGGCGTCGTTGTTGGACGCCTAATTAAAACAAGCTTTATGATGTAAAAACAAAAACCATTGACACACACACACACTTAGATAATACGATAATTGTAAATTATGTAAAAGACGACAAAAAATATTCTAAAGTAACAAAAGCAAAAACTTTTTCTTTTTTAAGTGTTTTACATTTAAAAATAACAAAAACAGATTAGTATTGTACCTATTCATTTTTCAGTTTTCTTCTTGTGTGCATAAAAGTAATTAATACTTAAAACTCTACGTTTGTTTGTCAGTTTCTAACGGCGTAACATCGTTTCGCGCGCGACAGTATTTCACGCGGAGAGAGCAAAATGCGCGGACGTTTTGTTCGCCTGTCTTGGCGTCAGAGCGCAGAGAAGATGAAGCTTTAATGCGCCTTTGTCGTTCGAGAGAGTGTGGATGGATGCGCATGGGAATGGTGCAGCTGAAAAATGTGCACATCATTAGCATATAATGTCTCGCAGCACTAGAACCTCAACGTGTTGGGTGGCGCACCAAATGAACCAAATAAAATTAGCCTCGGGAAGCCACTGGCAATATTTTCAGCGATGCGCAGCAGTAATGGGTAAGAGGTGAGAGGCAAAAAGGAGAAATTTTGAGACCTGCTAAAAGTGATCCAGCTTGATTTTTTCATCTCTTCGGTGATGACAGTTTGCACTTTAGTTGATTACAGCGCGTTTTAAAAGTAAATAACATTTTATACAGACTAAAATTGGTAAGTAACGCCATCTAGATGAACAAATTTATAATATGTGTGTAAAGTTGCCTAGTTTTTTTGTTAGATTAGAAAAAATGAAGTTAAGACTACTACAATGCGATGTTTTGCAAAATTTCTACATAAATCTGCGTGAAATGAATATATTCCTATAGTTGCGCGCGTGAAATTGTTGAATGTATAATGTGTTAGCTCATCAGTGACAAAAATAAACATTCCATCTCGTCGCGCGTCTCGCAACACTCGCCTGCACACGAAAACGGATAACTTACGGTAGGCATCTCAGCATCTTCACACATCTTCACTCCCAAGCATCCCGAGCATCCCATCAGGCGCACGAAAAGATGAAGCACGCAGTTTACGCATACGTACGGAGTTTCCAACGCCATGAAATATAGCTGTGTGCGCTAGGAGGTGAAGGAAACGCATAAATATTTTCGCCTCTTTGATTAATGATGCGACGATCCGAATGATCGTGTTTGGTACGTCCCATATTTCACAAGCGGATTGGTACACTCATATATTCCAAAGAATGTTTCAATGAATGCAAAGGGTTGATGTTTAAAATATTTGATTATCCTGTATAGGAATAATTCAAGTGTCTTAGGAGCAGTAAAAAAGCTCCAAGGGCTAGGAAATAGACAGGCTGATGTGTGCTTTGATTGATGAAGACCACCAGATGAAGAAATGTCTTCGGGACATGTATATCAATAGGAGGGACTTTGATGCGGTGGTCTAAAGCGTATCCAAAGATAATTATGTTACTATACAAATAATTTAAGTTTTTATATTAAAAAAATACATTTTTAATTTCGTAGTAAAAAATCTTTTATAATATAGATGGCGCTGTGGCAGTGGTAAGATTATTTGTAGGTTATAGACACTTTCAATTTATTTCTTTTGTCCTCCATGTTGTTATGATTATTCTCCATCGTAATGGTGTAAAATGCCACCGAAGTAGATTTACTCGTCGAATGAGATTTCGTTCAATTTCGAATCGCTGTGAAATTATACGTTTGCCATCGTAAGTGTAAGCAGGCGCGGCGAACCAAAAGTCGACGGCATTTTTATTTATTACCTGGCCGCACCACCAAGCGATTGTTGGTTATACTAAGAGACTAAAAAACTCGAATGGAACTGTATCAAATCTAAAAGTCGAGCGTCCGGCATCAAGAAAAAAAGCAAACACTCGCAGAAGTATTGTGAAAAAGTGAGTTGTAAGTCGTTATTCCACGTTTGCGTTATGTAGTTAATGCGATCCGATACGGACACGCTTATCGCCTAAAACAAACACCGAAGAGACGGCGGCTTCGTTAATAATTGAGTAATTAAATTTGGATTTACAACTGACACATTTTTAATTAAACCCCAATCATCTTACACTTATACCCTGAAAACTTTGGTTTTCTTCGAAATAAAGGTCAAGGTCAACTGTTTACAAATTCAATGTGAATCTTCATTTCCGGTCGTCGTGGTGATGAGATTTCGCACGCTCGAGACGAATCTATTAATCATCTAAAAACAGAAAAAATGTTTTTCTACGTCTAAAATTAGTTTAGGTAGTCGTAGAGCTCGCCATGGAATGAGAACCAGTAATAATGGAATGAGTTATGATTACGACTCCGGGTTATTAGGACATTATCACGAGAACGTCGACAATAAAGATATCGCCGCCCGCCCTTGCTGTTCCGTTGGCCACCGCGCCGTTTCCTTCGCCCAGGACGACCCCGAACCGTTCGATAATAACGCGATCGCTTCTCGACTTAAATCGCCTCGGTGCGTAATGGCCGCGCAATAAAATGACCCTAATACGATTTCACCCCCAAAACAGATTAATTCATAAAGCAGTTGTAAAGATAATGACGTACAATATCATTACGAAGGGTTAAATTATATTCCTTTACACTAAGGGTTACAAATATTTAAAAACTATAAAAATACATAACATGCCACAACATATCTCGCAACTACCCTCTTCCAATCATCTCATTTCCCACCCTTATTTAGTGATGCTAGCGGTATCATGGTAGTAGTGTGATAGTGCCTACTACAACAAAACGGATACATTTCATTTCATGGTAGATTAATATTGGATAAGTTATGGATAATACGAAAGGGTGATAGATTTCCCTAGAGGGGTTGCAAATAGCTACTTGTATTAGAAGCTCATGCAGCAGCTCGCCGACGTCCCGACTTTCCATTCTCCATCCTTTATTTCCTACTCTCTACAAGTCTACAAGTCTACACTCTGCCCACCAAAGGGTGTGGTTTAGGTATAGGTGTAATACTGTTGTAGTGTTTTTACTTGTTCCTTGTTCATTCTTTGCAGAGTTTGACCTTGCACTCTTCTAGTCTACTTCAGGTTTACTCTAGGTGAGGTCCGCTCCTGGTTCAATTTTATCAAGTGCTTTCTCCTCTCTTCACATTGAGGCAAGCATTTAGAATTTAGATAGTGATAGAGGAAAGTGCTGCTGTTCTACGGAGAGGAGTATAAAACGATGGGAGGGTGCCGACGGGCTGATAACTCACAGAGTGTTGGATAATTTTATTGAAATTTTTGAGAAAAATTAGTTATTTATAAGTTTTTAATGTTTTTTTGGTTATATTTAGAGGTTATGTGGGTTTTCCAAGAGTTTTTCTTTTAATTGTTTTAATTGTCATGATTGTGGTGTGGTTTTGGTGTTTTGGGAACAATCTGTAGCCATGGCGGGCAACTCCCGGATAGAGTGCAAAGTTGAAGCCATTAACGTCTTATCGCGTGGGCCGTATTTCCGGCCATATCTCAATAATGCAATGTTGCCGCTTCTCGCCAACTACCAGCCACACCACCCTCTTTTCATTCCTCTCCTTTGCGCTTGCCTTCTTCTCGCGATGTTGGATAGCCGACTCAAACTCTAGGATTGCTCTTTACTCTTTACTCTCGCGCACATCTTGAGCGTTCAGTAATACGCTGCGCTTATGGACTGTGCCTATCTCCGAATCCCGGATTGGCCCACCCCGCCATCATAGCCATAGGCTTACTGGAGAGTTCGCCTAGCTCGAGGTGTGGATCTTCCAAGATACTTGACGCTATCAGCGGTTCGCCCCGGATGTATATTACCTCCGGGCGCCATTTTCAGCCGGCGCACGAGCGCGCGTTTTCTTTTAGCAAATTGCTACCGACGCGAAATATTGCCTCGTAACTTGCCGCCTCCACAAAACTTCCGCGTTTCTCCTCCTGCTCACTGCTGCGCTAACGTCTTTTGCTTTTCGCATTTTTCCCATTCTGTATTTGCGTTCGTGTTTGCGCTTCAAATATTTACGACAGTTTCGCGGCGCTGCTCCACACCCTTAAAATTTACGACTATCTTTGTGTTGCCTGCGCTGTTTTTTACGTTGCTTCCTTCAGTTCCGAGGGCGGGCGAAAATTTTTGGCTAAAATTTATTGCGTGTCGTTTACATTTTTGTTTATTTTCATCTGTGTTTTATGCGCGACGGCGGGCGTCGCTTTTTATTCCAACTCAAAAAACATTTACGAATTATTCCACTCTGTGGATATTTTTAGCTTCTGTTGTAATTTCGGTGTGAACAAGGTACTAAACTATTAATAATCCATATTTCCTTTGCGTAATTTTGCATTTTAATCATGTTTTCACCTATAGGTATAATCGACACACGCGGGGGTAAAGTGTAATGCATCGATTCCGGTCCGGTTTATTGCTTGTAAACGCGTAAAGGCCGCGCGCGTTATTAAGTGCTACTTCGGGGGCGTTTTTCGATCATTCGACCGTTTCCAACACGTCCGAATGCTCGACTTGTACATATGTACTGCCAAACACGCGGCCGGGTGCCGCAATAATTCGTTGCCGGGAGCTTCGAGTGCCAACACGGTCGCTAACAGCACGAAGAGTCGAGAACACAAGAAGGAAGGAGGAACAAACGACTACTAGGGTGGTCAGCGATAATTATTAACTTCGTGGCGTTCGTTCGGATGCAGTGACCACTGAATATTCGATATTATCTCAACTTTAGTCGCAACACAATTGTACAATGTGAAAGTTGATTGATATCTCTCTAAGTGCTGTAAAATATTAAATTTCCATGAAACAGCAGCTGGTTTTCAGGATTTTCAATATTTTTTAAGTATTTCGTTGTGTAGGCAACTAAATATACATCTTAAATAGTAAATAATATATTATTAAATAGTTTAATAGTATTTTAAAGAATATTTCAACGCCAAATCAATTCTAAATTTAAATATTAAAAATTACCAACTGTTGTCTTTATTTGAACTTGAATATAGTTAAAGTATAATTCGGTGTGGCGGCGCTGCGATCTCGAACTCCAAGCGAGATGCGCTCGCAGGATGCGCCGCTGGCTTGGGTTGGCGGCGTTCCTGTGGTGCATATTTTGGGTCGCCTGTTGTGCTGTTTTGTGAAATTTTTGTGTATCTTTATTCATCCGAGAAATGACTGAATACTAAGTGCATCGGGGTTGCAGTTCTTCCACCGTTCGTGTCAAACTAACTGGTAAGTGGAATATTAATGGTGTTTTATTATGTTTTTTGGCGATCTACGCATTGGTAGGTTATACGCAATTTACGCGGGTTGTGCGTTTAGTGTTATACATGTATAATGGCTGCAAGCACAATTACAACAAATCGTGCATCGTTGTAGGTATGTAGTTGCAATGAATGTAAATGCACGTAGATCATTGTTTCAATAAACTGCTTTGTTTTAGGTAAGAACTCTTTGGCAGGTTTTAATAGATTTAGGGGATGAGTCCACTACAGGTTGATTATATCAACTATTATCGGCGTATATTGATGACATATGCAACTACAAATTGACACCACAAACATGCAATTTCTACACTCTACGAAACAAAAGAAGATTAATCCTTTTTAAAACTCCGGTAGCGTTATAAAATTTCCATGCATCATGCCATATTGAAGAGGCAGATTTGTGAGATTAGTTAGTAAAATACAGAAGCGCACGCGGGAGGGCCGCGAGCACCCGTTTTCCACACCGTGTGGCGGCGTGATGCTAATGAGCGTCCGTCATTATGCGTCATGTAGAAAAATTTGATTTACTTTTCTATTAATAACGACCCACAACAGCGACCAGCGCTGGCACACGAATAATATTAATATTAATACTAATAATAATAAAGCGTTGCGCGTGTAATTTATGTTTATGCATAATGCATTCGTTCCACCGTTCCAACAAACCGCACGTTGTGGTTTGAGGTTGGAAGTTTTGATAAGCGTGCGTGAAGACGCAAGATGACCCGCAGCGATCGGAATGTGCGTTGAGCATCAAGACTTAGGACTTGTGTTCCAGCACCAAACAAGATCAGGTAGCATTTCACGCATTTTACAATAATTAAACACTAATTATTTATGAAATTCGGATATTAATGAACAACTGTTTCTAGTTTTTTATATTCTATTAAGTGTGCTGGTGATATGTACAAGAAATTGCATACATATCATCGGAGAAAATCAGGTATTTTGACAGGAGTAACGTAAACAGAATCAGATAAATTTCGAAACAGTAGCCGAGGCGTTAATTAATAGCCGGCGCATTTTCTGCCTTGTAATTGCGCCTTTTTCGAGCGCTCCGTGACAATTAAAAACCGCCGGCGATAATTATCGAATGCACACGTTACACTGTAACCGCGTTACACACACTCCCCTCTCGAGCGCCACCGATTTCCGCCGCTGAGTCTCTTGTCACTCCGCGCAAGTGGAGCAAAAACCTGCGCACGAAATATTCGACTTGGCTACTTTAGTGTTTGAGGTAGATTTCGAGTGAAAACTACATTAATCCATGTCATTGTGCGAGTCATATCGCGCTCGGGCGCCCGCTGTTATGACGGCGCTTTGCCTTTCGAAAGGCAAATTGTGCGTTGGCACCATTAGCCCGTAATTCGTTGGCTTGTAATGAACGAGTAATACAAGCGCCACGTCCAGCGGACATGCAAAGTGCGTTTTGATCCGGTGGTCACTGGTCCACTTGTCCCGCCTGTCTCCAATCAAGATCTTAATCGTGCGCTCGTGTACATTTTATACATTTATTTCAGTGTGTGATGAAGCTGACACAACACACTACTTCAATACCATGCGTTCAGATATTAAAATTAACATAACATAACCTTAAATTACGAGGTTTTCTATTACATTTTATACCTTATTGGACCCAGTGTATGCTGAAATGCAAACGAGTCGCAGGCGAGTGAACAACGAACAGCGCTAATATTAAACGTGTAATCGATCATAAGTAGCTGGCACTTTTGACGGTGAAATGGTGAAAACATGGAGTCGACTGGTGTTAAACGCCAGGAAATATTAAACGTCTGCTTGTAGAGTTTCGCTCGTCGACGTTCACGCGGAAAACTTAAAAAAAAACGACCGTGATTTAAAAGTTTCAAATGAAGCCGCATTTAATTTAATTGTAGGTAAATTCGGTTGCCTATATTATTTCGCTTGAAAAATGTTTTATTTTGTCCGCGTGGCAGCAATGTCATAATTCCAACTGCGCGATAATTGAAATTTATCGCCGGTAATTGCGGTGTGTTAATCAAGCAAAGGAACTAGGTGTCTCACGCGTCTATAATAACGTATTACTTTCTTTTCGAACCGTGTAACAAATTATAAGGCGTGCGCACGACCGCACACAAGTGAATTTCAATTAATCTATATCTTATAATGTTTTGATTTATACAACCGCCAAATATTACATACATATCTTGATGTCTTGCGTGTATTTCGATTTGAATATGTATTTTGTTTCTACCGTTTTAAAGCAATTATTGCGTTTAGTAATCAACACCTTCGGCGTGCTACTAAGTTAATTGAAAACTGGTTTTAATGGTGTTTTCGACGGCGTAGAAGTTAAGAACAAGCTGCGCATGCAAAACATTTAAAGTTACGTGCGCTTTTCACGCTTTAATGAATAGACACCCAAGCAATCACTGTAGATAATGTTAATAATTTGACCGGGGGCCGTGAATGGCAATCGTGGGATAATTTCGGAGCTTCTTGCTCGACACTACCCACCACCTCCAGAGTTTGTATGTTTATAGTTTAACCTCTCGGCAAAGATGGGAGCTATGTTCCACAGCTATCAACCTGTAACTAGACACCTTGTGGAGCGCTCGGTTTCCCACTTTCCCAGCGAATATCGCGCGCTCGTAAATAAAATTATCCACACGGACAGACGCAATTTTTGTTCATTGCGTAGACATTATATCCGCACGCAAAAAATAAGCACAATTTTGTATTATAGCAAGTCCCCGAGGAGTTGCGTAACTAACTGTATTGCGGTTTTTCTTTTTCGGAAAGGGGCCAGTCAACAATATCAACTTGATCCAAATTGGAGTGAAGTGGAGTGAAATTTAAGTGAACGAGGGAGGATGAGGCAGGAAAAAAGTTGTTCACTTGTTCGCTTGTTTGTCCTCTGCGCTTTGCATGTACTCCCTAAAGTATCTCAATTTATGTATCGCGCCCTCATCCCCTTCTTTAACCCCCACAACGCAGCAGCCGGGCCTTAATTTGATGCTTTACGCGTTTTGTTATGTCGCGCACGTTGTGCCACCCGCTTTATTGAAATGTCAAGTGAAATTGTGGGAAAACGTGGGAATCGCGACGTCACGAATTTATTTCGATCGGATTGTATCGCATCGAAAAAGATGTACACTCGACCAGATAGAATATAGATATGTGTTTGCGATGCGTGCGGCTGGCATGGCAGGCGCATGAAATAAATCATTTTTGATTTTGATTTATTTGTTAGGCGGCGCAGGCGGTTTAATTAGAGCTTTCACAAGTTGAGAACTCGTGTAAGAATTGGCGCGCAGAGACAATACAAGAAACTAAATTTAAGTGAGAAGACAACCGAATGCGAAATGATTTAATTGAAATTAATTTCGTACGCTTGCACCTGCATTTCGAGTGTTTTCGCAATGACTTTGTAACTTTGTGCAAAAGATTAATGGAGAGATTTTTATGTGGGTAATGATTCTATTGCGGTTTTGATGTGTCATTTATCTTTGTTCTTACTTGAATGTAAAATTCAGACACTTGTTATAGCAACATAGGCAACTTCATAAACAAACCTCAATTAGCAAGCAGGTTTGAAAAATGTAGTTGTCGGAATATCTTGACAAACGTGTAGGTATGTTTTATCACTAAATCAGTCTCAATTTCTTCGATTTTAATTTTAATTGTCCTTTCGTTTTATTTAACGCACTGCGAGTGCGTTGCGCAAATGTCGGCGAAGAGTGGCGTGGAGCGTAATGGGTTTTCTGGTGAAGAAATAGATTACTATCAATACGCTCTGACTCTCCATAAATAACAACTTTATTGCGTTCATTACTGATTTATAGCCGCCGCTCAAAGTAAACCGCCACTGGTGTTTTTATCACCAGACGCGGCCGAACGATGCCGGCGAAATAAAGGCAAAACTCAAAACACCCGACACTTGCAACCTCGCAAGTCCACGCCAGCAAAACACTCGGAAAGCGTTTCTCAAAGCGAGAACAAAATAACAGCAGAAGAAAAAAGCAGCATCTGAAACAAAAGGCACCATATAGAAAAGTTATTGACTCGAGGATGTTGGGCTATCAGCACCACGCACGCCGTATAATAAATTCTTCTACGAATCTATCTAATATTTATTAAACCGACCGTTAACTTTAATCTCGAATTATACGATTAAACATTACATTCGGATTGTAATTCAAAGTTTTTGACGTTTTTAGCTTGAAAAGAATTTAATATTTTATGATGTTTTCAAAGAAAAACTATCGTTTTATATTTCTAAGGGTTGTTGGTGGATGGAAACGTCTAAACGCATTAATGTCATACATAGGCCCACTAAATGTTTCAAAATATGTCCATTTGAGAAGTGTGCTTTCGTTTTAATTTCGTTTCTCCGATTGCATCAGGTAATTTTCATTTTATTCCTTGTTTCCTTTGGTTTGTGCGTGTTTTACATAAATGTTATTTATGCCATCTCCATCTGCTTGTTGGACATCGTTGCTTTACCAGCATTTTATGGTTTTGGGTCGTTTTTTGTCGTTTCACACCCCTTTCAAATGGGATATGTTTCGATATGTGTTCCATAGTCTTATGTCATAAGCGCGTGCGTTCTGTCCATCTGCATCTGCATTCAATTTAAAGCTTTACAAGCAGTTTTCAACCAGCTGGTTGCATAAAAACTACTTCCGTTGCAAGAAGTGACACGTTTGCGTCATTGATGACGTCATATTTCTTCGCAGGATTTTTTTTTAATCATTTTAATTTAAATTCTGCGGTGATTTGCAAATTTGCGTTTAAAAATTGACCCATTATCCAAAATTAATTGTGAATTTAATCGATTTTCACACGTGCTGCAATTGTATACTTTTTGATAACATTATGAAGTTTTATACCGAAACGCGTGCAAAAAGCGATTACGCGTTAATTTAGCATTGCATTTGCGTTAATATAGGAGAACGCGTTTAATTAATCGACGAGTAACATGTA